CAAAGTACAGGGGGGCTAGTCACACGAAGTTCCCACTTTTGGGGCCTGGACACATTTTTCCCAAAAAACTAAGATATTTCTCACTATCTGAACAGAAGCAGAGAAGATCAAAATTGAAAAGATGGATAATTTCTATTTTTAACCTAAATAAAATTATACCTGATGTGTACTCATTTCTAACAAACTTCATTCTAAAACAACATAGAAAAGATCATCATAAGCTTGAGCAACTTAGGCAAAAAATGAACATCACCTTAACAGAATAAAAATACAGCATGAAGTTTCTCAAATGTAATATTTACCTTTTTGGAGCTGAAATTATAGAACAGAAGCAAATAATTCAAGTGATTAGAAAGAGGAATTGTACGGAGCATGTCCTTACAAGATTTACTAGCAACAATAGGTTATCACTTATCAGTACCATCAACTTCAGTATTATACACCGATATTTCTACCAGAATGTTCTCATGTCCTTACATTGTTTGTTTGGTATTTTTCATGTCATGGATTTGGGGTTGCTACGTAAAATAATGGTTAATTCCCTAAAATTTTGCCGATTCATCTAAATTTATGATTATAGTCACATATTCTCAACAAAATTCATACGCAACCAAACAAAACTTGATTGCATTTTATTCCCCATGTGAATCCTATTTAACATCCAACGCAAACAAACAATATTTTTAGTATGGCTTTTTCTGAATCCATTACATGCACTCTAGTACAATTCATGAACCAAACGTCCCTTTAAAGAACATGTGTCATATCCTGACTTATTTAACTTTTTACTAAATCAGTATCACTGGTCAATTAGAAGCCAGACTGCAAGCCACGGAACTCTTTCTTTATGTGTCCAATAAAATAGAAGTGGAAACCAGCGCCCTGGCTACAATGATATTATCCAAAGCTACAACTGTTGTAATTAATATCCTCAACCTTGATTGAAACTGCTATGGTCACAAAAGGATTAATCTATAAAAAAATTAACAAATACACGTACGAGCTTAGTATATTACCTAATATGTCAAAGTCGTGACGCGGAGTGAAACGCCAGTTCAGCAGAAACTGAGGCATCGAAACAGATATGTTCACTAGCAAATAGCACAGGATAGAGCGTTATAGGTGTAAACTTTAGCCGATCAGATAACATCCTGAATAACAAAAAAGAAAGCTCTGACATAATCATAATATGAACTATGTTTAATGGAACACTTAGCAAACTTGAGGAGGAAGTATCAGAAAGTTTAGGATAATTCATTGACATGTGCATAGTTGAATCACTTACAAAAGACGTGCTCCACATTACATATTCCTTGCATCCTTGTACTACCGAGTTCCGGCAGAAAATATGTATAACACCAAAGAAACTACAGCTGGAGAATATAAAGACAAATTTATGTATATAAAATAGAGGAAAAAAAAAAGAATAATAGGAGAACATACCGAAAGGCACAGTCACTAGACTCAGAAAAGTCACAAGCAAGATATGTAGGATAAATAGAGTACTAAGGTAGAAAGAAAGACGGGTATAAGAAGACTGAAGAAAAGAGACAAAAAATTCAAGAATTTAAGGTCATCAAGAAATGCACCACAAAACAATCTCCTATTTGCAAAACAAACTATATCAAGAGAAGATTAACGATCATATGAATCCCATAAGTTGCGCATTCCTTGTACTACCGAGTGCAAATTTGTCAGATATGAATCATATAGGCTATGTAATCTTGATAAAAATGAGTGCACAACAACAACTAATCTATGTTACCATGATAGCTGGATTATCAAATTGATCCTTAACTTCATGAGTTGATCCTAGGAAGACCAGAGCCTTAATTATTCCCTGTTTCTTGCTCATTCGCCTCAAAAGAAGATCTATTTTGTTTCAAGTTAGTCCACAAATTTACATGCTCAGATTAAGCAATCATTTTAGCAGCAGAAATAAAAGCTCACGAGATAGATGGATAAAATCTTCTGAATCTCAAACATCTCACAGGTATACTTGGGGAGTGAATGGATATTTGATGGTGAGGCAAAGACATCCCTCAGCTTGGAGAGAAGGTCTTCAGTGACCTATTCCCATAAAGATTCGATGACATTGTTCACAATGATCGATATGTGAATCAGAATGTGGCTTTCTTTTAATATAAGCTAAAAAACTCGAAGGCCTGCAAAATGAAAATTTTTATAACTAAGATAAGCCCGATACAGTGCAAACTGAAAATTTTATAACTAAGATCAACCCAACCCAACTGCAAACTGCAAACTTTAAGACCCTAAAGACTGGCAGTGATGATGCTAGTAGCTAGTGACGGGTTGAGGGTCCGGATTCAATGTGTGGTTAAAATAGAGGACTTGGTTTCTGTACTGGTTCATTGGGTCATGCTTCTAGGCTCCGGTTCAGGTTCAGGTTTAGGCGACCTTTCTATGTTGGTGCTTTGATTTCGTCTTCAGGTTCAGGTTCAGGGATTGCGTTAACTTCTTTGGCAACAGCTGTAATTCTCCTCTCGCCACCAACGCAGCTGCTGCGATATATCTTGCATAGAACATAATTGTCCAACTGCATTCAACACGTGCACAAGTTCGTCAAAAGATGATTACACAGAAAGCTATAGGTACATGGGTAAATACAAAATAATATGAAATATTCTCAACAAGTTTCTTCAGTAAGAATCAAGAAATTCAACAAAAGGCATGCATCATGGATATAACTGATTGAAGAAGATGGATGAATATATATCGACTAAATAAGCTGAGGTATCAAGTGAAAAAGTCAGCATGAGATGTTAATTATAACCAAAAATAATAATCTTATTTGTAAAATGAGATGCTCATGATCATGGAATGAATCAATAAGAAACAGACTCTTGTTCAAACCAATTGAGAATAAAGACAAACTAGAAAAAAAACTGATCAAAGATAAAGATGATCAATAAAGAGAGACACAATTCAGAAATTGATCAACAAGCATGCATGCCATTTCTGCATCATATAAAAGAGAGAACATAATATCTGTATGTGCCATTTCTGCATCATATAAAAGAACTGATGCAAAAAACTAAACTAAGTGACATGAAGAAAGCAGAAACGCAATGTAGCAAGAAAATGAAATCCTAACGAAGAGACCAGAAGCTTATCATTAACTCTGACGTCATCCTTGGATCAAGCTTCTCAACACCAATCAAACTTTTACAATTTCCATTGTAATGCTAATATGCTATTATTATTAGCACTACTATCATTATTTTCATTGTTTTCTTGGAAGGAAGCACGACTGTGTCTTAGTAAAAGAGAAATGAAAGTATTTCTTTTTACGTTTCTACCAAGGAGAACTTTGGCGACTTTGATGAAGATAACTATAAGCAATTATGATAGACTGATGATTGCTTTTACGCAATAATGTTTGTCGAGCGCATTACAAAGATAAAGGACGTCCTAATTTGATGCATGAACCCGCTAGATCATTATTTGCAAGATCTAAGAGTTGACACAAATCAAGTTTCAAGAACTATTGAGAGATACTACGGTTGAAAACATGGTGAGAGGACCAGAATCCCAATGATGAAAATTACTTACCCAAACATGGAGGAATATTTCAATGGAATCTATTATCCACGAGGTCCAGAATGAGAAGTTTCCTTGCAGTTTCTCAGTGACGAAGGGACTTCTCCAATAAAACCCTTATACATAGCAGGGATTCCAGAGGGGTCATCAACCAACTGAACATGAATCTCACCATGAATTGGAATCCTGTAGGTTAGGTTGCCAGAGAGTTAAGAAAGATCAAGGGCATGCTGGTGAGCATGATGATTTTGAAGATGAGTTCCAAATACAGAGTGTCGAGCAAGAACTGCATCATCAGAAAGTTGATCTCACCTCAGTAAAATTCACAAGAGACCAATGTAATTCCTAAATCTGTACTTTCCAATATATATCAACATTAAATGAGGGATGAGAAACCTTTTGCAAGAAAATGGTGAATAAACACAACAATGGCAGCCTCATGACCCTGTTATCTCATCAATCATCATTTACTGGCACCAGAAGGATAAATTTGCACCCAGTGTATTATGCTCTAAATTTTGCAGTGGCTGGTAGGGCTTTTGAAGGAGAAATAGAGATGGAGAGAAATCTGGAATAGAGGATAGAGTGGACAAATGGAAAGCAAGACATGATGAGGGATTTGAGAGTTTGTGTGAGGGTTTTATTTGTGAGATTCTTGTGTAAACCCTATTTGTATTCTCTCCCTCTATTAGTAGATCTCCCCCCTCCTTGCCCCGTGGACGTAGGCAATTTGCCGAACCACGTTAATATTGGTTGTACTGCTTTTGTGTGATTTGTAATAGCTTTTAGGGTCCCTCGACGCGCAGTCCTAGAGCTGACGAGAGGAAGAGCTAATATCCTACTTTGATAGGATATAGGCTTCAGATTCTTGTTCCCTTTGAGAAACAAGAATTCTTATTGCGATCAGACTCTCTTGTTGTGCTGCCGAAGTGCTGCCGAAATTTCCGCTGCGCGCAACAAGTGGTATCAGAGCCCAGATTTCAGATCTAGGATTTTTTGGTGGAGGAAGATTCTTGTGTGAAGCTTAGTTCTTGGAGTTCTCGGCTTCGGTGGAGATAGCATTAGGAGTTGCCGTTGGAGATTTCGCTTTCCTCGTGTGGATAGGAGATCTATTTGGAATCCGATCTAGGGTTCAGTTGGGTGGTTCCTAATTCTATCAAATTTGTTCTTTCTCTACAATTTGGAGTTAGTTCGCAATGGGAGAAGAAGGTGAAAGCAGCAAATCGATGGCGGGTACAATACAAGTTGGTTTTCAGAACATCAAAATTAGTGTGGTGAAATATGACGGAAAAATCAACTTTGGTTTGTGGATGAGCGACGTACAGGATGCGTTAAATGCTCAGAATTTGGAAGAGACCATCATGGTCCACGAGAGGCCACCTAAATATGATGAGGCGATATGGGAGAAAATGAATAGGAACGCGCGTGGGGTGATCAGGTCCTGTTTGGAACAGGAGCTGAAGTATGATGTGATTGGGGTGACGTCTGCGATGAAGATGTGGGAAATTCTCAACAATAAGTACCTTACGAAGAGTGTTGAGAACCGATTGCACTTGCTGCGTAGGTTATTCAGATTCCAGATGTCCAGAGGCACCTCGCTTGCGGCTCATGTGAACAACTATACGAAGTTGTTGTCGGACTTGGCGAATGTTGATGAGAAGATATCGGATGAGTACAAGGCGATTATTTTGTTGGGCTCCTTACCGGATGAGGAGTATGATACCTTCGTGCTCACTTTGTTGAACGGGAGATCTTCTATCAGCTATAGTGAAGTGACTAACGCTTTGACGAACTACGATTTGAGGAGGAAGGATAAGGAGACTTCCCGCGCTAGTACTTCAGGAGAGGCCTTGTCGACGAGAGGTAGAAGCCCATATCCGAAAGGTGGTAACAGAGGGAGGTCAAAGTCTAGAGGCCGTCACCAACTAACAAAGAACCAATGTGCATTCTGCAAGGAGCAGGGACATTGGAAGAGAGACTGCCCGAAGCTCAAGGAGAAAGAGAATGGCAAGAAAAAGGGCCCGAAGGCCAATGAGGTGAACATTGCGAAAGGCGATGATTCCGATGATTCGTGCTTTTCTCTACTGATTACTCCGGAGGTGAACCATGTGGATGCATCAGATTGGATGCTTGATTCCGGCGCTACCTTTCATGTGACCCCTAGGCGAGACTGGTTTGCATCTTTTGAGAAAGTCGACGGGGGCGTTGTTGTCATGGGAAATGATCAATCCTGTGGCGTTTGTGGGATAGGTACCGTGCGGATTAGGATGCACGATGGAGTAGTCCGTGAGTTGAAGGAGGTGAGATTTGTTCCTCAACTGAAGAAAAATCTTATCTCAGTTGGAGCTTTGGAGGCGAAGGGATTCAAGGTGACTTTCGAAAACGCTGTAGCGAAGGTTACTAAGGGATCATTGGTGGTGATGAGGGGAGTCCGCAATCGGAATTTGTATTATCTGAAGGGAAGCACCGAGATTGGCCAGGTTGCTTCGGCTATTTCAGAAGCGGACATGAGCAGACTTTGGCACTATAGATTGGGGCACACAGGTGAAAAGTCACTGCAGACATTGTGCAAGCAGGGGCTATTGAAGGGAGCCAAGAGTGGGAAGATTGAGTTCTGTGAGCACTGTGTTCTTGGCAAGAAGACGAAGGTGAAGTTCGGGACTGCCATTCATCAGACGAGGGGCATCCTGGATTACGTGCACACAGACGTTTGGGGTCCCACCAAGACTGCATCACTTGGTGGTCGACATTGGTTCGTCACTTTTGTAGATGACTATTCTAGGCGTTGTTGGGTGTACACCATGACGAAGAAGAGTGAAGTCCTAGATTTGTTTGTGGAGTGGAAGAAGAGATTGGAACTGCAGACTGGGAGAAAGATCAAGACGTTGCGATCCGACAACGGTGGTGAGTATACTTCTGACCCCTTTCAGCAGCTATGTCGAGACGAGGGCATAGAGAGACACTTCACAGTTAGTCATACACCGCAGCAAAATGGGGTGGCAGAGAGGTTGAATCGGTCTTTACTGGAGAAGATCCGATGCTTATTGTCGCAGAGTGGTTTGGAGAAGATCTTTTGGGCTGAGGCACTTACATATGCGAGCCACCTCATTAATAGGCTGCCTTCATCTGCGATTGAGGGGAAAACCCCTATGGAGATGTGGTCGGGAAAGCCAGCACATGACTATGACCAGCTCAAGGTATTCGGGTGCCCTGCATATTATCATGTTAGAACTGATAAATTGGAACCTCGAGCTAGGAAGGCCATATTTGTAGGATTCAAGCGTGGTGTCAAGGGATACAAGCTTTGGGATCCAGTTGATAAAAAGATTGTTCTGAGTAGGGACGTCACATTTGATGAGGCTTCTATCTTGAAGCTTCCCAGCTCTCATCAGGTGGAGAGCGACCCGACGGAGGAGATATCGCAGGTGGTGGAGATCGATGCAGCTCCACATTGTCCAGATGGTACAGTATCCATGCAGGTGCCGACTGAGGTGACGCCAGGCGAGCACGACGATGACACGGAGGATACGAGTACAAATGTGCAGGATCAGGAACCGACGGCTCAGGTTCAGGATTCTATTGCGGCTAGGAGACAGAGGAGAAACATACAGATGCCAGCACGGTATGCCGACACAGTTGCGTATGCACTTCCGGTGGAGAGTATCGATGAGTTAGTGCCTACTACATTCAGAGAGGCCGAGCAGAGTTCGGAGGCTGATTCGTGGCAGGTGGCTATGCAGGAGGAGATGGAATCTCTTCATAAGAACGATACATGGGAGCTTGTTGAGCTTCCAAAGGGGCGGAAAGCAATTGGTTGCAAGTGGGTATACACGAAGAAGGAGGGCATTGAAGGCACTCCGTTGAGATTCAAGGCTAGGTTGGTTGCGAAGGGCTATGCACAGGAGGAAGGTATTGACTATAATGAGGTTTTCTCTCCGGTGGTGAAGCATTCTTCGATTCGGATTTTGCTAGCTTTGGTGGCACAGTATGGTTTGGAATTAGATCAGTTGGATGTGAAAACGGCATTTCTTCATGGTGATCTTGATGAAGAAATATATATGACTCAGCCATTGGGATTCCGAGCTGCAGGGAAAGAAAAATTAGTTTGCAAACTGAAGAAATCGCTATACGGTTTGAAGCAGTCTCCTCGACAGTGGTATAGGCGATTCGATGGTTTTATGCTTGGTCATTCGTACACTCGGAGCCAGTTTGATCCTTGCGTATATTTTCGCAAGTTGAAAGGAGGTGCGTATATTTATTTGTTGCTCTATGTCGATGACATGTTGGTTGCCTCTATTTCCAGGTCGGCTATAGATGAGTTGAAAGTTCAGCTTTCAAATGAGTTTGAGATGAAGGAATTGGGCGAGGCGAAGCGCATTTTAGGGATGGAGATCGGCAGAGACAAGAAAAATGGCAGAATTTGTTTGACACAGGTGGCTTATTTGAAGAAAGTTCTACAGCGATTCCATGTTAGCATGGATACGAAGCCAGTTAGTGTACCATTGGGAGCCCATTTGAAGCTTTCAGCTGGTCTCTCACCGAAGTCAGTTGAAGATCGTGAGTTGATGTCGAAGACTCCATATGCGAGCGCGGTTGGGAGCTTGATGTACGCGATGGTATGTACGAGGCCAGATTTGTCACAGGCGGTAAGTATTGTTGAATATCATTTCTCCATGATAATGTTTTGATGATAACAATTTATATTTTGTGTGCACTAACTTTCATATGCAGATTTCAATATCAGAATATGTACAAGTTCAGAATGCGCCTTTCTTTAATATAAGCTAATAAACACGAAGGCCTGTAAAATGAAAATTTTTATAACTAAGATAAGCCCGATACCGTGCAAACTGAAAATTTTATAACTAAGATCAACCCAACCCAACTGCAAACTGCAAACTTTAAGACCCTAAAGACTGGTAGTGATGATGCTAGCAGCTAGTGACGGGTTGAGGGTCCGGATTCAACGTGTGGTTAAAATAGAGGACTTGGTTTCTGTACTGGTTGATTGGGTCATGCTTCTAGGCTCCGGTTCAGGTTCAGGTTTAGGCGACCTTTCTATGTTGGTGCTTTGATTTCCTCTTCAGGTTCAGGTTCAAAGATTGCGTTAACTGCTTTGGCAACAGATGTAATTCTCCTCTCGCCACCAACGCAGCTGCTGCGATATATCTTGCATAGAACATAATTGTCCAACTGCATTCAACACGTGCACAAGTTCGTCGAAAGATGATTACACAGAAAGCTATAGGTACATGGGTAAATACAAAATAATATGAAATATTCTCAACAAGTTTCTTCAGTAAGAATCAAGAAATTCAACAAAAGGCATGCATCATGGATATAACTGATTGAAGAAGATGGATGAATATATATCGACTAAATAAGCTGAGGTATCAAGTGAAAGAGTCAGCATGAGATGTTAATTATAACCAAAAATAATAATCTTATTTGTAAAATGAGATGCTCATGATCATGGAATGAATCAATAAGAAACAGACTCTTGTTCGAACCAATTGAGAATAAAGACAAACTAGAAAAAAAAACTGATCAAAAATAAAGATGATCAATAAAGAGAGACGCAATTCAGAAATTGATCAACAAGCATGCATGCCATTTCTGCATCATATAAAAGAGAGAACATAATATCTGTATGTGCCATTTCTGCATCATATATCATATAAAAGAACTGATGCAAAAAACTAAACTAAGTGACATGAAGAAAGCAGAAACGCAATGTAGCAAGAAAATGAAATCCTAACGAAGAGACCAGAAGCTTATCATTAACTCTGACGTCATCCGTGGATCAAGCTTCTCAACACTAATCAAACTTTTACAATTTCCATTGTAATGCTATTATTACTAGCACTACTATCATTATTTTCATTGTTTTCTTGGAAGGAAGCACGACTATGTCTTAGGAAAAGAGAAATGAAAGTATTTCTTTTTACGTTTCTACCAAGGAGAACTTTGGCGACTTTGATGAAGATAACTATAAGCAATTATGATAGACTGATGATTGCTTTTACGCAATAATGTTTGTCGAGCGCATTACAAAGATAAAGGACGTCCCAATTCGATGCATCAACCCGCAAGATCATTATTTGCAAGATCTACGAGTTGACACAAATCAAGTTTCAAGAACTATTGAGAGATACTACCATTGAAAACATGGTGAGAGGACCAGAATCTTGTTTGAGGGTTTAGTTTGAGAGTGATTGTAAACCCTAGTTGTATTCTCTCCCTCTATTAGTAGATCTCCCCCCTCCTTGCCCCGTGGACGTAGGCAATTTGCCGAACCACGTTAAAATTGGTTGTACTGCTTTTGTGTGATTTGTAATAGCTTTTAGGGTCCCTCGACGCGCAGTCCTAGAGCTGACGAGAGGAAGAGCTAATATCCTACTTTGATAGGATATAGGCTTCAGATTCTTGTTCCCTTTGAGAAACAAGAATTCTTATTGCGATCAGACTCTCTTGTTGTGCTGCCGAAGTGCTGCCGAAATTTCCGCTGCGCGCAACACAGAAAGATGATCTAACCTCAGTAACATTCATTAGAAACTAATGTAATTCCTAAATCTGTACTTCCCAATATGTATCAACATTAAATGAGGGATGAGAAACCTTTTGCAGGAAAATGGTGAATAAACACAACAATGGCAGCCTCATGACCCTGTTATCTCATCAATCATCATTTACTGGCACCAGAAGGATAAATTTGCACCCAGTATTCTAATTTTAATACTAGCCCTTGGTCCTCCCCATCAATAAATTTTACTTAATGTGTATTGTGCTCTAAATTTTGCAGTGGCTGGTAGGGCTTTTGAAGGAGAAATGGAGATGGAGAGCAATCGGGAATAGAGGCACGCAGCCAATGAAGAATGATGATCAGTAATATCTATGAAAAAACATATGTTTAATCCATTTACAAATAAACACATCTTTAATCCATTTATGAATAAACACATGTTTAATCCATGTATGAATAAACACACATGACATACAAATGACATCTATAAACCAGGCAGTGACAAAATTTTACCTTTGAATTATTTTCGCAGCATGGCCGAGGCACGCAGCCCCTATGACGACAGGTGCAAATCACCTCAAGCAAGATCAATCCATACCGCATCATTATAGTCCTCAGGCTTGTCATCCTCATCTTCATTTTTTGGTTTTTATCATGCCTCCAGCAAAATATGCCTATCCCGTTTGGTTCACCTTAGTTATATGTTGGATCTTGTTCACTGGTTCACCCAAAATGGTTTCCCATCACTCGTGAAGCCCATCTGAATAACCTCTCTGCAAGGTTTGAACGTGATGGTCAGTCAAACAAGCTTTCACCAGTTGATGTGTTTGTTGGTACAGTTGATCCTCTGTAGGAGTCTGATATCATCAGTGCCAACACTGTCCTCTCTATACTTTCTGTGGACTACATTGTGGACAAGGTTAGCTGCTATGTATCAGATGATGGTGCATCAATGCTTCTGTTGATACATAATCAGAGACAGAAGAGTTTGCAAGGAGGTCTATGCCCTTCTGCAAGAAGTAGAAGCTGGTTCTCGAAACTTCAGAGCCTTACTCTACCCGTATCTCACTCATTGTCCTCGGAAACATACTCCATCTCCTGTTTCTGTTTCATTCTAATCCATAAACTATTCCTACATACTTGGAAACGAAATCATTATGGTAGAAGAGATAAAAGCTTACTACTAAAATGGATAATGGCTTCTGAAACACCCGATAATTCTGTGCGTATACTTGGGGAGGGCTGGTGAACTTGATGTCGAAGGCGAATAACTGCTTAGGTTGGTGTGTGTCTCTCGTGAGAAGATACCCAAACACCACATGAAACCAGGGCCCTGAATGCATCGGTAAGCCATGTACTGAATGAAGTTTATTTATTTAAGTTAAGCTAAGTGATACAAACGCTGCACACTTTTTTTATTATTTGGATCTATAAGTGCAGGTTCTAGTGTCCACAGTGTTTATCAATGCACCCTACATGTAGAATCTCTGAAGAAGCTCTGCATGTGCCCCCAGATTAGCCTGATCTTGGAATGGAAGGTCTACTATGTCCAATTCCCACAGAGATTCGATGGCATTGACTGCCATGATCGATATGCCAATTCTAATGTGGTCTTCGTTTGATGTAAGCTAACAGAGTAATAAAATTCAAAAACTTAAACTTGTAAACTAGCTGTCTAGCCATTATGTAACTTAGATGAAATCAATACTACAAATTTCGAACTCTTCTATGCAAAGTTATAGGTGACAAAATCCATGTGATTTATGTGTTTGGATCAACATGAAAGGTCTAGATGGGATCCAACGGTCGGTGTATGTTTGAACTGGATGTGCGTCTACGGTTATGACCCCGTAAGACTCGAAAGCACCCAAACATGACATGAGACTTCTGTCTGTCTTGGTGCTGCTGCTGTTGAGGTGGCTTGAGGAAACCCAAGGCAAAGAAGGAAGATGGAGAACAAGATTGAAAGGATTTTTCAGAGAAGAAGAAAAAAGATATAATGCATTGCATTGAAATTAAGATTAACAAATGTGAACGCGCTACCTGCCAGCCCAACGCGCTCCTGTTCCCGCGCTTCTGAGTCCGCCAAATTTTTCGGTTCCCCCCTCTTTGGTTTCCTATAAATAGAGAAGGGGTGGAGGAGTTATTGGTGTGGGGGAAAAATAAAGTGTGGGAAATTCTTGAGTGAGTGAGAAACTTGAGAGGAAAAGAAAAGAGTGAAGAAGAGAGAGCTTGTAATAGTTTGGTATTCTCCTCATAGTGAAACCCCCCTCCCGTGGATGTAGGCAAGTTTGCCGAACTACGTAAATCTGTTGTCTCGTCTTTTACTGTGTGTTGCCATAGCTTGTAGGTTCCCTCGACATTTTAGTCTTAGAACTGATGAGAGGAAGAGTGTATATTTCACTTTGATGAAATATATCACTTTCGATTCTTGTTTCCTTTGAGAAATAAGAATTTCACTATCTATTCTAGTTTCCTTTGAGAAACAAGAATATAGAGGTTGACTTGTGCTTTTGTGACAACTAAAGTCAGGGCTATCTCTCAGGTGATATCGCTTCCGCGGCGTGAGGGTGTGATTCTGCGCCCAACAACAAAGATAAACAAATTTTTGTTGATAATTTATTGCAGAATAAGGTAAATCAGTGAAAGATATTAAGCTGCATTGCAATTGAAAGTAAAAGCAAATAGGACTTGCATAAGCAGCAAACTGAAAAACAAGCACAAAAAACGGATCGAATTAGTCTTTTAAGTAATTCGACCAAGCTGAGGACAATACGACATCACCTCCCCATTTGATCTGTACTATCTTCTTCTTCTTCTCACTCTCTCTATGCCTATTTTTCCTTAGCAAGCGTTGTCCTCTTATTGCCATGAATGGTTTGGCTTCTTCACGTTGGGATTGTGTCTTTGATTCCTTGTATAAGTTCATAAGAATTAGATAGGGTTAGAGATCTATCATGATCAGGAGTTTGGGTTCCATCATGATTAAGAGTTTAAATTCTATTCTAACTAGGAAGTTAGGCTAGAGATAGAGTTTTGTTTTCCTATATATATTCTTCTATTGTTGGAGTAAAAATCATGCAAAGAGAAAGAGCCACTATTCTTGTAATCTAGGGTTAGGAGAGGGCGTGGCCTGATTCAAGAATATTGTGCGAGAGATGAGAGTTCCGTAATTTTTATCTGTGTAAAAGATTACAAGGTGTGGGTTTTTGAGAGAATATGAGAGTTGATTATGGATGTGATATTGAGAGATTGAGAGACGAGAATTGAGTGATTCCTCTTGTAGTTTTCCCTGATACATAGTGAATTTCTCGTATTGTTTGCCCGTGGACGTGATTGAGGCTTGCAAAAGAAAAGAACACAGAGATGGAAATCACAGATAAAAAGTAGACAATCATGCATGACAAATGAATTTTCATTATCTAACAATGTAAGGTAATAAGGGATATAAGTAGATTTCTTCTACTCATATTTCATCACTACAAATTATTCAGATCCTGCCAATTGTATGTGCCCTGCACACAATTACATAATGGAAATAAGGGTGACAAACCAGTCGATCTGACCCATCTAATAATCGCGTAGACTTCTTTATTAAACGGATAACTGATATCATGCCTAAGTCACCTAGTTATTGGTTTTATAATCAAGCGACTTATCACTTAAAATCCATGGTCAAAATTTCATGGTCCCATTTATTATTTCAAAGATTCCGTGTTGTTTAGAAGTTTACATTTGTGTAGGGTGTTTTTTGTAAATATTTAAATTTTAAGGGTGTTTTTTATAAATTTTAAAACTTGTAGGGTATTTTATGCAAATATAATCTTTTCAGGTGATTTTTTTAGTTTGTAAACTTTTTACTCTTTGTAAGTTTTGATTTTGTAGGGTTTTTTTTATTTTTGAATTTTAGGGTATATTTTGTGATTTTTCAGCTTCAAGGGTGTTTTCTACAAATTTCAAAATTTTCTCTTTGTTGTTTATAAGTTATAGAGTTTGTGATATTTTAAAGGTTTGATAATTTTGGGGGGTGTTTTTGTAAATTTCATTCGATGGTGTCTTTGCAATTTTAAAACTTTCACGGCGTGTTATGTTAAATTTCAAAAAATAAAAACTTTGTTGTTTATAAGTTATAAATTTTGTTTAGTTGGTAAATTCTGATATTTAAGAGGGTGTGTTTTTGTAAAATTTAATTGTTTCAGGGTGTATCTTGTAATTTTAAAACTTTTAAGGTGTTTTCTGCAATATGTTGCTGTTATAAGTTATAGACTTTGTACTGTATGTAAGTTTTGATATTTCTAGGGCATGTTGTTATAAAATTTGACTTTTAGAGGGCTTATTTTGCAAATTTGAAACTTTTTGGATGACATTTTGCGAAAATCAAATTTTCCATAGTGATATCTAAAACTTATAGATTTTGTACTATTTGAAAGTTTTGATATTTCTAGGCATGATTCAGGAAATGTCTGACTATTTTAGGGTGGTTTTTGTATTTTTCCAAACTTTTAGGGTGTCTTTTGGGAAATCACTATGTCATTTATAAGTTATAGATTTTGTACTTTTTAAATGGGTTGACATTTTTGGGGCATATTCCCATAGAAGCTTGAATTTTATGGGGGTGTGTTTTGCATTTTGTTTAACTTTCAGGTGCAAAAACTTTTAACGGGCTTTTTTATAATTTCTATATTATAAATTTTCAATGTTTGTAAGTTTTAGTTTTTCTGGTTTTTCTAAAATTTAACTTATTTAGGTTGTTTTTTGCAATTTTTAAAATTATCAAGGCACTTTTTGTAAATTTCAAAATTTTGAAAAGTTATAAGTTTCAATTTTTTGCTTTTTCTAAGATTTAACTTATTTAGGTTGATTTTTTGCAACTTTTAAAATTATCAAGGTATTTTTTGCAAATTTCCAAAAAATTTATTATTCTGCTCATAAGTTATAAAATTTATATTGTTTGTAGGTTTTGACTTTCCTGTCATATATTTCTGTAAAATTTGATTTTTTAAGCATGTATTTTGTAATTTGTATAAATTTTTTAGGGTGTTTTCTATAAATCTCATGGTGCTATTTATGATTTGCAGATTTATACTGTTTTGTAAGTTTTAATATTTTCATTACTTTTTAGGTAAAATTTTGGTGATGTTTTTTTATTTTTGAACCTTTCATTGTATTGTTTGCAAATTTCAAAATTCTTTCATTTTCAGTATTTATAATTATTGACATTTTTTGGGTTAGTTTTTGTAAATTTTAAATGTCAACTGTTTAATAATAAAGGGTTTAAAGTTAAACGGGTTAGCGGGTTGACCCGTTAATAACCCAATTGATAAATTGGTTTTTTGAGTTGACCCGTTCAAGAGAGGACCTATATAAAATAGCTCATATTTATTTATAACAAATTAGATTGTATCGGGTAAGTGGGTGAGTCATAAATCATCGGAAGAGAACAACTTTCATGATCATACTCCCTTTAAAAGCACGAGTTCGGGAAAATCTTTCGATAGACAAAAATACCCTTAGAATTCAAATATTATTCCATTAAGTAAGAGTAAGTTGATAAATTAATGAATTCTTATTGAATATACATAGTTTGAAGATAATGATACAGTTTAAATTAAAATGTAAATCTAAATAAAATTATTAAATGTCAAATTTACAAATGTCTACAAAATGAATGGCGTATATGCAAAAACTAAATAAATTAATAAGACAAATAATGTCTACCCCAAAGGTCGAACCCGGGAACAATGTAGACCTACAAATCTACATAATATGAATGAGATATTTACAAAATCCACCAAACAAATTAAAGAGACAAAAGTCATTCTCAAAATTATAAAAAATAATTAAGGAAAACAAAAATCATACTCCTTTTAAAAGCACGAGTTCGAGAAAAGCCTTCTATAGTCAAAATTATCATGTGCTACTTTAAATATTTAATTTAAATTATAATTTATCCTAATCATACTTATATTCTATCCTAATACCCCATGAACTATCTATAGGTCAACAATTTAAATAAGATTAATAAAATATATGAAACAGCTCCGTAGTATCAGCTTATTACATGAAGTATTACAAAAAAAATAAAAAGTTTTAAAAATTAGACAAAAGACTCTCAAAAGTTTAAAATTACACAATAAAAAACTAGAAATTTAGAACTTGTCAAAGAAAAGAATAATTGTGTCATGTTCTTTCATTAATATATATGAATATAACTTATAATTTAAGGTTTACTATCCCTTTTCAGAATCTAAAAATAGTCAAGTTGATACTGATAAAAAATAGTAATAATAACAGATTAAAAATATTCAATTAAAGAATAAAAATTTA